ATGTGCTTGAATAGTATTTACTTCTTGCCCTTTTCGAACAAGTAGGTAAAGAAAACCCTTTTTATTGAATTTGAACAGAATTGAGGACTACTTTCGCGAAATTGGATTTAAACCTAGAATTGAAGACTACTTTCGAAATATTGACAATCTATTATCCAATAATCTGTAATATAAAATTTACGGCTGAAGAAATTTATAAAATTTACAAGGATGCGGAATGTAATCAACAAGTTTGTATAATTCTGGCTAAACGAGTAAAGAGCGCAGGAAGATTCATAGATGGAATTATGAAAGATATAGGAGAGAATGAAGAAAAATTTCGTGAAAAATCATATTTTTTAGCTCTTAAGCATTATGAAAATACCTTAAAAAATATTAAAGAATTTACTAAGCAAGTGTCGAAATATAAAGGTTTTATAAAATATTTTAATGCAAAAGGGACTAAAGAAAGGTTTAAAAAATTGACAGAAGAATATGATACATGCATAAGGGATTTGCATTTTGCTATTACTATCACCAGTGAGCATAATAAAGAAGAAATCTACAGGGCCGAAGAATCTTTAGACGAAGTTGAAAAAGTAAGTAGAATTATTGGAAACATAAACTAATTTTGATACCTCTACATGATTATTCATATAAATATATATCTTCATTTATTCTAGGCTCTTAAGAACGTTGATATTGGAATCAATGATGTTAATCAGAAACTTGGTAATTGTTATATAAACTTATTTACTTAGCATTACTAGCAAATGTCCTTTATAAAAACACTACTAGATCTCGAAATAATTCTTTTGATTTTGAAACCACAAAAAAAGCTTTAGTAAATTACAATATTATAACTCTGGATTTTGAAAATAGTATTGAATCAAAAATATTGCCTAAATCGCACTCACAAGATAATGAAGAATCTGACAAGTGAGTATAAGTCTTATTGATTCCCTATCACTTCGTCGACACTTATTTCGTAGACACATTTCCACCAACATATTTGTTTAACCGATGCTTATTTCACCGACAAGTTCATTTCACCGCAGTTTATTTCACCGATAGCTCATTTCACTGACAAGGACGAACTATCGGTGAAATAAATACGCCGGTGAAGTATTGTGTCTACGAAATGTGTCAGTGAAATAAGCGGGAACGGTTTTGCTAAATAAAATAGATCATTTCTAATTTTGCTACTTCGAAATGAAATGGTCAATGCAGCTATAGTACAGAAAATCACTATATTAGATAAACGGGCATGATAATTGTCGTGCTTGAAGTTGGCATCTGCTCGAAGTTGCAACTTCAAGCGCTGATTGAAATTAGTTCCTGAAATTAGATAGCAGGTTTAGGCAAGTTTAAACTTCAAGCGCTTAAAGTTACAACTTCAAGCAGATGCTAACTTCCAGCATTACAATATTATTACAATCACATAGTCTTACAACATTGATATGATATACTTTCACTCATGTTTGCAAATACGCAAATCGAACACGATAAACACATATTAGTACTGACGAAAACACTAATTGCTGTACGATAAAATACTAAAGTATTGACGTAAAAAATACATCAACTATTTAAAAATATGGCTTAATATTTGCCATTAAATTCTAACCATCTTTTGTCCGTTCAATTAAATCAAATAGTGATACTCTTATCCACATTAAATACTCTGATCCAGTTGTCACCATTGGTGATGGAACTAGTGTTTTAAATAATATTCCCGAGTTCATATCAGTGAATTCAACCATCTCTCAAAGACCTTCAATTGATGCATACTCTGAAGCTGAAAAATTATTCTCACAACTAAAGAACGCAAAAGATGAGATCGATCGTATACTATATTCGCAAAACGTATATGCTGTGGGTCCTGACTTTCAGAATGATTATTCCATACCATGCATCACTTGTTGGGTCGCTAAGCCCCTCGAATTATCAGTCATGAAACAGCTTTCTGATTTGTTTGATAATAAATTTGACATCGTATACAATTTAGTAGATGCTGTAGACATAAACAATGGTTGTAACGATCATGATGAAAGTTCGAATGAAACATCAAATGGAAATGATAATGCTAGTAATGTCAATAATTCTTCAAAAATTAAAAAAAATTCGGAGGGAAATGAAAAAAACGTCGACAGTCCTAAAGAAGGTGATGGTAATGATGGTGATGGTCATGACGGCGACAGTGATGATGATGATGGTCATGACGGCGACAATAATGATGACGATGGTCATGACGGCGACAGTAATGGTGACGATGATGACGATGATGATGACGATGATGATGATGATGATGATGATGGCAAGGTTAATGCAAAATGTAATAGAGTCATTAAAATTTCATCTAATGGCAAAGTCGTAACCGAAGACAAAAAATCCCAATGTTTTAACATTACTGTCCATCTATGGGCAAGCATAAATATTGACTCTGAATATAAAAATAAAAAAACCTTGGAATTTAAGGTTTATTTGAAAAATTGCAGCGTGGAAAAACTTCTTAGCGATCAAAGTTCATTGCTTAACGGGTTTGTTTGTTATTATCTTGATTCGTTGGAAGTCAGTGTCTTTCCAAAAAAAAATTCATCTAAATCTAAGTCAAATAATGAACCACCTAAGCTTAATGCTAATGATGAATCACTTGAATCTGATGATGAGATATTTGAGTCCGATGATGAAATTCCCATGATTATGTTGAAGGAAAACCATACCCCATCTAAAGCCAATAATTCTATAAACATTTCAAAAGCAAACCAGAGTGATAACAGTGCTCAAATAGATGTGGGGCAAAGTAATAAAGTATCATATCGCCACGCTAAAGTAAAGAATCAAAGTTTTACAACAACATTAAATGAATGGCACATGGATGATACATACGGTTCGACTAATGGTGTGCAATGGCCATATCAATTTATTGGTGGAGATGTATTCAGTGCTGGAGACCATAGGAAAAGCATTCGTATAGACGAATCCCATTGTGGTCATTGGTATATTTCAAAAGATGTAGGAGGTTTTTGCATCACTATTATACAAGTACTTGGTTGTAATGAAAAACGAAATATTTTCAGAAGACTAACTTCTAAGACTCCAGAACTAATAAAACAATATCCTAAGCTTGTTCACAAACTTGAGATCACCTTTAATGATATCGCAAACTTCAATAGTGACTTTGCAATCCTAGCAGAAAAGTTATACAATAGACCATATCTCACACTAAAAAAGCCAATTCATATCCGAAAAAAGAATAATGCTGAGTTCAAGGGCGATTTATCAGCTAAGAAAAGTTAACAATGTGAAATCTAAACAGATCGAGTGCGAAAAAAATTTTCTTGCAAAATATTTGTTAATTGTTGTTGCTCAATTTCCTGAAAGCTATTTACTCACCATCTCATTATCCTGATACCATACTGCCGCTTGAAGTTAAACTTTCGTTTAACGTTATCCCCCCCTCCATCCCCTGAGCTCCCCCCTAAAATTAAACAAATA